GTTTGACATCCTTGTTCTACGGGATGATACACAGCATGCATAATCCGGAACTTAACTTTAGCTTTGCAAGTTTCATCCATATTTTTCAATATAAATTAAAAAAATCATTAAAAAATGCATGTCATCATCATAGATTTCTTGCGAGATCAATTCATTATTTCGTTCGGATACGATTCAGACTCCATATAAAAAGAAATGTCGCCTTCGATGTGACAGCGAAATCATCTAAAGAAAGCTGCTTCATTTTAGCTTCACTCTGATTGGTCGACACTTATCCCAAACTCAGCATAAAGTTGAAAACTTTGAACCCTATGCCACGAGCCCTAAACCAGATTCTGTGACATAGCAGAGACTGGTTGCCTTGGCATCGGAGCTCGGCTTTAACCACGTATGCCCTTTACGCCCTTGTCTGAACGGGGCTTTATATGCTTCTTTTGGAAAAACAAATTTTATCATGCTGTCATTGGTTCTGTGTGCATTCAATCCATTATGAACCTGTATGCACACAACAGTATTTCCATATCTTAATGATGGCATAGAAAGGTATTATATCATCATAGACTGTAACCATGAATATTTGTTAGTGTTATGCATAAAAAAAAAATTGCAGTCATCAGCATTTGAAAAGTAATAGTGTGAGGGGAATACTTTTTTTTCTAGATAGCAGACAAGTGGTAGTACTTGTTTAGCAGCGATTGTGCGGGTAGTTAGACTAAGTTCACAGATGCATCAGAGCAATTGAAATGGTAAGATGTTAGAAAAGTGGTTTCACTTGGACAGGATAGCTGTGGCTTATTATCCTGATCGAGTAACTGGAGCCATACTGTTACTGCCGATCGTTATTGTGCCATTTTGACAAGGTTATGAGAAGCCATCCAAAGTAAGTGCTCTGTTATGTTGAGCAATGGTGTCGTCCTGACAATGCCCAGCCCCATGCTGCTTGCGAAACTCGAGAATTGCTGCAGAAGTTTAAGTAGGAAGTTTGGAGTCACCCCCCATATAGCCTTGATTTAGAACCCAGTGACTATTTCCTTTTCCCAAAACTGAAGGAATATTTATTTGGAACGAGATTCTCTTCAGACAATGTTGCGAAAACAGCTACCGAGAACTGGCTCAGTGGGCAGAGACGTGATTTCTGCCAAGCCGGATTAAACAAATTGGCCCTGTATTCAGGTAAATGCCTAAATGGATTTAGTGTTTATGTAGGAAAAGTATAGGCAAGTGCACCTCTTAATCCAGCTTTGTATCTATTTTTAATCCTTTCTATCTATTGCTAATAAATAATTTGTTATTACCCTTGTAATCTTTTTTTTTGGATCCATCCTCATATTTTTGGGGAAGAATACAATTTTCAAACAATGCTTGATTATTTTCAGCATTAATAGGTATCATTATTTGATATTTAGTAGCCTCTCAAAGATCAAATAACAGCAAGTATGTGTGCTTTTTCTTTTTATACTTCTAAAGGAGGATGCAATTGCTTCACCATATTTCATTCTCCATAGACATTACATTATATTTTGGTTTAGAAATTACTGAGCACCTATCGTACATCCCTAACACAGAAATATAGTTTCATGTTCGTAACTGTTACTTCAAAGAGTATGAATATAATAGCAGTATAAGAATTTGTGCATGAATGAGAAAAGAAAATGCTATGTATTATAATGCATTTATAAATAAAGTCCGATTTAATAATATTCTGTTTACTGTTTCTTATATACAAAGGAGGTTACTATACATATGGAATTGTTAATTGGGAATATTTTTAAATATTTCGTTATGATCCTTTAATGAGAATGAGTAAGTTGAGGCTCACATCTTATTTTTATACATATATCTCTCTCTATAAATACACGGTGTTTCATATTGAATGGTACAGAATAATCTATCAATTACAGAATTAGTACAAATTCTGTAATTGATTTATGAACTAAAATAGATTAACTCTGAAACTACAATTGCACAAGATTTATCTGACAACAGCAAAAAATCTTCCGTTCACGAAATCGACGCTAGAGGCACTGTTAATAAAATTGGCACCATCCATGCAGGAGAAAGCATATTGTAGTTTGGAATATGCCAAAACATCATTGTTTATTGGCATTCAAAGAAATTTTTGCATAAAATTCGGTAAAGAACCACCATACCAAACAGTGGGTGAAGCAATTTCAGGACATGGGCTGCTTGTGTGAGAAAACCAGCTCAGGACAAACAGCAGCCATAACCAAAGTTGTTAAAAAAATACGTGAAACATTAAAAAGTCCCACAAAATCAACATGTCATATGAGTTCTGAATTCAATATCTCCTATGTAACAGTATGGTTTGCAGATGGTGCAGGCATTTAAAACCTTCCCACAAACCACTGCGTAAAGCTTTCTGTGAGAATTTGCAAAATAAGGTGGAGGTAGATGGTTACGCGAAAAGACTTGTGTTTATGGATTAAGCCATTCTTCATGTTTCTGACAAAGTTAGTAACCCTAACTTACGATTTTGGGGCACGGAAAATGCACATGGTGTAAAGAAACATAAGTATGATTCTCCAAAGGTGAACGTTTTCTGCTTCATTTCCAGTAGCTGTAGTTTGGGCCGGGATATGCAGAAAGGAAACGTTCTTTGTGGAAAAACTGAATTGATTAATGGGTGCATTTACCAATGCTATCACAGTAGTTGTTCTCTCAACTAGAGGAAGCAGTTTTTAGCTTCATTCTGCAAGAAGACAGTGCTCCACCACATTGGCATTAAAACATTTGCCAGTATACCTGAACAAAAAGGTCTATTCTATCACTGTATTGGGCTGTGCTGAATCAAACCATATGCCATTGCTTTGTTGGCCACTGATATCTCCAGATTTAATCCCTTTATGTTTTTTTCTAGTGCGGTTTTGTTAGAGATAAAATATTCATGCTTCCATTTCCCTAGAACTTTCAGCAACTGAAGCAGAAATGCTTGAGTCATTAACAAAGGCTATTCCATCATGAATGTGGCAGGAACAGGAATACCACATAGCTATTTGCCATGTCATCAGAAGGACACATATAATACATCTCTTGAAACTTTGATAACTAAAGTTTCACTGTAAATTGATTTATCAAAATTAAGTAATTGCAGCATTCACAGGTATGCTTTCTTTTGTCCTGTTCAATATGAAACACCCTGTATATCTAAAAGCGTGGTACAAGAAAAATGCACCATCACCAAGTGTTATTGTTCTCAATACAAGGATAAAAGCAGCGTAGAGAGCAAGAAGATAATGTAAGAAGAGAATATAGAACTTTTCCCTCATGCATTTTTTTTATCTATAACATAATCTTTCCCTAAGCCATTAGAAAGTTGGGATCTTTATTGTAGAAACTAAACCATTGAGTAAAACAAGTCTTGCTGGGATTCATTCTTCTTACTTAGTAGCAGTAACATGCAGAACATGAACAGAAGTTAGACTAACCTTTACCATCATCTCTTGTGATGAGAGAATATTCAGAAAATAACTGCAGAATTGTAGTAGCATTTAACATCTTTTAATTTTCCAGTATCAGCTAATTAAAATTTTACCTAAAAAAGGAAATTTTGACCATTCACTTGTTGCATATCTAAAGCCTCATTTTTTGGGTTCTCTTTGGATTCAAATGTTCGTAATAAAATTGGAATTATTAGACTACATTAGCATAAATCTACACATTCAATGAGAAAAATCTGTTGAGTATTTAAAATACAGTTAATGCCAACTCAACCATTTTTTCATAGTTAATATATGAACTCAACCATTTTTACTTCCTTGTACGAAGTAAAAAGGAAGTATTGTAATAGCGAAAAGGTTGAGGCATCATATTTCAACTCAATTATCCATTTTTACAGCTATTGAATGAAATTTAATGATGTTTTTGCGTGACATCGTATGTATGACGAATAATACTCTTTTCTCCCAAAAAATTTTAAAACAATTTAAAATGAATTTCTGAAGAGAATTTTTTGGCGTCTGTGGTACGTATCTCACATAACTAAAAAACAAGTAGCCTCAGAATTGAAATTTTGGTATTGGACTGTTTGTAACATGAAATTGCACCTCATATTTTGGTGCAATGGCCACACCAAAATATAATATATTTATATCCCACTCTGTTACTCGGCTCATGATCTCAGCATCTTATCTTATCTGTTTGTAATTGTGCATTTTTGCTTTAAAAATTTGGTGGTTCTTATCATCCGTTTAAGGTTTTTATGCCTTTGGTAAATCTGTATGCAATATTTGCAGAATTATTAATAATTTAAAAGTTTTTTAAGTGTGGCTAAGCCTAATTATTTTTGCCATGGCTGTTTACATTTGAAATTTGGCAGAATAGTGGATTTGTTGCCAATCTAGAGAAACTAAGCTTTGCAACAACAAAGCTAACGCCTTCATTTATTATTGCAAATTAAATCATGCTTAATCCTTTCTGGAATTTTTTTGAGGAAATAAGTGTTTAAGATTTACTTTGTAATTTTTAATATAGATATTTTGCGTTTGTGTATTTTAGCCTTGTAGAGAAGTGAGGACTGAATTAATTGAATAAGAAATACTGAATCATCTGTGAAAAACTGTTTCTTTCTTTCTTTTTTTTTTTTTTTTTTTTTTTTTAATTTCTTTTATACATGGTTTTAGATTTATTATAATATTTGAATAGAACATGTGAATAGATAATTCTTCAGATATAAATTTTGTAGTTATAAAATGTAATGATGTTAAGGGAACTTAGCGTAGTGCCAGAGTGTCACTATGGTAAACAAATATAGTAAATTTAAAGAGTGCATTTATTCTATTGTGGTTTATGCGCTATCACTCATATATCATAAAGTAGATTCAGTTCAATCTAATAAGTTTAAATGAAATGCAAGGAAACATGCCTATAATTTAATGTTCCATACAAGGAAATCATGGTGTACACATCAATTTTTTTTTTGTTAGTAATGCCTTTCTGTATTATGTTTTGCTTTAAACAAATATTTTTGTTTTCACATTTAGAATGTGCATGAAGATGAAATGTTGCAGCATATTTCGAAAACTGATAATGCACCACCTCAACTGTATGTTTTTAGTGATGGCCAGGATATGCAGAAAGCGTTTGTAGCTGGAGATAGAACAGTTATTGATACAAATGCTAATAATTTGTATGAAGCTTTAATTGTTCTTATAGCAACATATTACACATTTTTGTTAGAATATCCGAAATCTCTTTCTCAGATCCTTGGTTTGTTTCAGACTTATGTTGTTGGTGAATCATATGAAGGTATGAAAAGTAATCGATGCACAATATTCATAGAAAATTTAACAAAAAATTTTGTTTTAAATGAATAGTTATTTGATTTAGCTTGTATTTGGATAAATAAAATATGTGTACATATGATTGCATTAAAATATGTTATTTACCAATTAATTCATGTTTTGTTTATAAAGTATAGTTATTTTTATTTTTATTTCTTTTAGTTATTTATTTTATTACTGACATAAAAAAAATTTTAAGATAAATTTTTTACTTAACTGTGTATGTATTAGTCACAGATTTGAAATTTTATTTCAATGTTTATTTGTTCCTTCTTTGGCACCTAGCTCTGCTTATCATGAAATTTTTCTTAAATATGAAGGAAAAATGATAAATAAATGTAAAAAATGACTAAATGTATGTATATGTAATTTAATATGTATTTTGGATTTTGTGTAATGCATTTTTGCAAATAGTGAATGAAAACGTGATCAAGTATGATCCAGTAAATACTGCAGTTGGTTCTAACACCATACTTGTATTATATTCATTACCCTTTTAATTGAAAAATCTATATAAAAATGTTATCATTTTTGCATTAGTGTTTTTTTTGGGGGGGGGGACAATCCATGTTCCATATCTTCTCCAAGTACAACAAATCCCATGAAGAATATAATTTTATTTGTTTTTAAAGTATTTTGATAACTTCATGCATAAAATCTAAACTTTGAGTAAATTGTTGCTTTATACACACATAAATAATGTATTAGGATTATTTTTGTGAACTATTTCCTGAGTTAGCTATCGTGAATGTGAGCCAGTTTCCCTTGGAAGTCTGCCATAAAGACACTCCTTCCCTTAGCCAGATAGCTCTTTATTCTTTTCCGTATTTGTGTAGTCTACATATATTTAAAACATAAATGGCATACCTAATATAAATTTTATCCAAGTTCAGGATATATAAATGTAGTTAGAGTTTTAATCTTACAATTTTGCGAGTAAAACTTAATAAAGTAACGTTAATATTATTTTCTAGAAATATTTTATATAGAGTATCATTAATTTTTTATGATTTGCTGTTTAAGGGGGGGGGAATTGCTTTATTGATAGTATGTTTAAAATTGCATCCAGTTTGTTTTTTTGGGGGAAGCTGACTTATTTCACAAAATATATAATATTTTTTCTTTACATATTTACATGCTTGTGGTTATTTGGAAATTTAGAATTTTTTCTGTTTGTGTCCTTATCTATAAAACTTAAAATTGGTCAAACTGAAAAAAATTAAGTATATCTTCAGAATTCTTATAAATTCTTAATTTTTGAAACTTAAAAGTGTATACTATAATTATACTGAATTGTCACAGTTTATTTAAAAAATAATACCATATATTTAAAAACTGTATATACTGCAAAGTATAATTAAAAGTTCGCTCTTTATTTTTGATAGTTGCAGAAATGTTAGTTGGGGGGGGGAGAATATAATTTATGTATGTTGAGTTTAATGGTGCATATCTATTTATAATTTGTAATATTAGTATCTTTTCATAAGTTAAATTACCACATTTTCATTTTATTGTACACTGAACTGTTAAAAACAAGTGAATTCTTTCTCCCTCTCTTGTTTTAAGTTCTATATTGATATCATATCATCTGCTACTGTAAGTCTGTATATTGTCTGCATACATTTTCAAGAATATTCTGTTATATAAAACTCATACATTTTCCCAGATAACAACTACTCATCTTTGCTTTTTTGTGCTGCTTGTGACATGCATCGATGTAAATTATTTACTCACATTTATGGAAAAAATAAATAATCTCATTTTCAGAATTCCTTTCAAATTTTACTTAAAGGCTCTAATTTACAATTTGAAGAAAAATATTTTAATACATGTATTAACTTTTTTTTTATATGTATAACTTTACTCAGTTTCACTAGCAAACTTCATCTTACAAGAAGTCTCAGAGTTGAATTGTTAAAATCAGTTTTAACTAATGAGAAGCTATGCCAAAATTAGAAATATAAGAGTATCTCACTGAAAACACTAATAATGTGTTAAATACATTTAAATATCTATAAATTAATTAAATTGTTAATTTAAACTTAAAACCACAATTTTTATGTATTTTAAAACAATTTCAACGAGTAATTTTTTATATTTAACATTTATTTTTGGTCGGATATTTCACACATATTTTCTTACATCTTTTGCAGGGGTGGAGGGAGAATCTATCTTTATTACTTAAGTGCTTTCCATCCCTTTTATTAATTTTAGTATTTTTTAACTGTTTATTCAGAAAATAAACACAAAGGACCAGTTTTCTTTTAACTTCAAAGATGATGAGTTTGATTTCTGCATTCATTTAAAATAATACATCATTAATACATTAACCCCTTTAGAATGGGTGTATCATATATTCATCAGCAGTTAATACTCTTAAGCAACAGCATGCTGCTTAGCACAACTTACCTTGGAGACTGCATGTTATTGCAGTAGTACAGGATATTTCACATTGCTAAGCCTAACTTAAAAAAACAAATTGATTAAATATATATCTTTTTTCAATAGTTTTGATTTCTTCTGTAGAATATCAAGAGATTCCAAAAAAATTAATTAAAATCTAAATGCAAAATAAAATATTTGAATCATCTTGATGAAATGTAATGAAACTTACTTAAATCTTTATATAAACATACGTGAAAAATAATAAAATATACAATCAATTATAGCATAAATGATTCAGAAAGGAGACAGTGTGTGGTAATCTAGTCACTATTGTTTCATTAGTTATGAAACACATTTTCAGTTAATTTCATTCCAGTAGAATAATTAATCCTAGGAATCCTTTCATTTTAGCCACATCTAGAGGAGTTTGTTGATTTTGGACGAAGATGGATTTTTCACTCATCTTTAGTTCGTAGAAATTATTAGCTTCTTCAACTGTTATGTTCATTAGATTATCGGGAAAAAAATGGTAAAAAAATCAATTTCATTCACATAACTTTCAATTAAGTTTACTTTTTTGTAAATTCATAAGGCTTCAATTACTTAACAGATTGTGTTCATGACAGATTAGCCACTGTCCTGCTGGACTGAGAGGTGAAAGCAAAACAAACTTCTAGTTCAGTCTCTGAGAAAATTTTGGTATAAAAATGACTATTCTCACTTTAAACTAAATTTTTTGGTGTCAAAATAGTCACTCATGGGCTTTACAATTCGAAAATACTCTTCTTCAGTTAAAAACTTCTTCCTCTTAGACATTGCACTATTAGTTTAACTCTTACCCAGTGCAAAAAACTTACGTGTGCTATCTAAAGAAGATGCAAACTGAATATAAACCAAAGTTCCTAAAACCACAGTTCCACTACCAATCTTCTCATGGGGAAGGGAATTGAAACATCGGAAACTGTTCAATGTTTATGGTCAGCAATTTTCAAATAAGCTAACTGTAGTCAACACGGAGTGACATTTAGCGTTTAAAAAAAAATTCTAAAAGAACATGTATGCTTGAAAGTACATATATGCCACACTCATCTGAAAGATCAATGCAAGCAGTGATGTACCTGTGCATCGTCTCCGGCTGTCAGCAACATTTGGGACAGATGCATATGACACACCCGGTCTGCAGAGGGTTTCTAGTTCAGCAACATGCCATCGCGAAGGGGTTAAAAAAGATTATTTTGAAACCGATAATATAATAATCATTTTACTAACTCTAGCAACATTTAAAAAGGAAACATTTCACTTTTTAGATATTCTAGCTGAATTATGCTGCTACCACATTATATGTTTCATACAAAGAAAATTTTTCATACCCAGACACAGCATTTTGTGCATTTTAAAGTTTTCATATTTACAAATAGTTTACTCTCAGAAATAAAAGATAAAAACAAAGTTAATTTTTTTAGTAACTTTTCGCATCTGGTACAAACTGCAAAAAACCTGACTGACAATTTACAGAGCTACAGATGAGAAGACTGCAGTTCAAATCCAGCTGTGGGAAACTTTTTTTTTATTCCTATTCTTAATTCCCTTGGTGATGTTTTATTTAAAGCAAAAATATGATATAAAAAATTTGTAAAAAATATATTTTTTGTTCACAAATTTATTTACACATCATAATTATCATAAAAATATTTAAGGTATAAAATATCATCATCAGGGTACACTGAATAAATAATGATTTACTACAACTTAAAATTTTATTCATGAATATGTATTTGTGAAATATGAAAATACAATGGAAGAAAATGCTGTCCCTTTAATACTCTGCATACATAAAGCGTTTTAATGAATATTAGTGCTATATGCTTTTGACTTAAAAGAAATTTTACAGAAAAGTTGTTCCAAAAAACTTTTAATTAGGAAAACCATTTGTTCATCCATGAATACAATGATTTTTATATTTTGAATGTTGCTGTGATAAATATCATTAATCAGTTGTAAATAAATTTATGGAAAAGTATAAGAAGTTAGAAAAAACAAAATACTGCTCTCTTTTGAGAATTTTTTTGCATTTTATTATTTTTTATGTTATTCCCTTAAAAACAGCTTTTATAAATAAATTTTATTTCAAAGTAAAGTAACATTAAAAGATTAAAATAAATTTTAAAAAGCCAAACAAGGACTTTGCATGTGAAGCATTATACATTTCTGACCAGGGTATTTGGGTGTGCAGGTAAAGGAAGAATAATTTTAAATAAATAAATATTATATGATTCAAGTTAGGATATGATGGCAAACTTCCCAATGCAGTTGCAGTAACGTCTAAGAAAGCTCTTTGGCCACATATCAGGTTTCTTCAGAAAGAAAAAAGGAAATTTAAAGCTGCATTTTCTGACTGCAATATCTTGGTAACATACTGCCTTTTAAGGCCTGTCTACATGAAAAGACAAAGTAAAAGTCTCCCTCGCAGACATCTTGCCTGACAACATTTTGTATATACAGGGTGATTTAATTATCTAAATTGCTCCGAGGCTACTAAGCGAACCAGATTATTCACTCATAGTATAAAAAGTAAGTGATTAAGAATGCCATAAAAAATGCTAAATACCAAAAATAAATAAAAGTTGTCAATTAAAATATGAAGCAAAAAAGGTAATGACTTGTGGAATAATTGTGGCACATATTATGTATAGAAAAGTTTATTAGTAAAATAAATAAATAAATAAAATTGTAATCTTAAAAGCGTTTAAAAGGCCATATGTTTGTTTAAAAGTTAATTTCTTAACTTGCACTGTGTTATTTGTATCTAATTAACCAAGTGCTCAATAATTGATTTCTTTAATAACAATTTAATTCAATTTGGCTTAGGATTCTTGCAAATGCAGGAGATGAAATATAATCGCTTATATTAATTAAACATTGTTATTTGAATGAAAAAATGGTTTGTTTCCCTTGAAAAGTCAATCGGGTTCCATTTAATGACAACAACTGAATTTTATCACCTTATGGCGTTTAATTTGGTTTTTACATTTTGACATATTCTGTACCTTTATTAATGAATTTAGCAGATATTAAAAAATTTTTACTTCAATAACATTTAGGAATACAATTTTTTTCTTTCTCTTCCTTGGAGATAATTTTATTATTTTCCTTATGTTTATTTCCAACTTTGTAGCTTCAGCGCAAGTTTTAGACTCTTTTAATACATAATTCTTCGAATTGGAATAGCATATAATGGTTTTAGACCAGTTTTTAGGTTTTTTTGAGTAGTCAATGTGGCACAATGTTATGTTTTATTCGTTTTTCCAAGTGTTTCGGAAGTGTGTAGGAAAAATTCTGGTACATTTGAGATTCGATTTTTTCGGTTTTATAGGAATTTTAATGTTTTAAATGAAAATTTAATTGAATCATTTTGATCTCAAATGAACCAGGAGAATGAAACGTGTTTTCGAAACATATGAATCGACTTTTATGAAGCTTTAATTCATTTTCCCCTGATGAGTTCTGAATTGGAATTTCAGTAAAAGGACATTAATTTTTCTTTCTATAATTTTATATATTTTCCCTTTTGCATTTATATTTTTCGAGTTTGTTCTACTATGGAATTCTTATTTTAATCTTGATTTGTTTAGATATTGTGTTAAACCTCTTATACATGGTTGGAATTATTGATATTGGTGAGGAATTGCCTTGCTCTGATTCGAATTTAATATTAACTTTAGATGCTTTAAGTTTATATATATATATGTAACATAAAAATATGTTAATCAAAATTATAATTTAAACTAACAATAAACTCTAATTCTTTCTCTCTGTTTTAAAAATCATAACAACTTCTCTGGATTGCGTCATTTCTAAATCATTCCATTTTGCATGGCCTGCGCAGTGCTGATGATGTAATAATTGGGAACTGAAACTTTTATCTCACACCAAAACCTTTCTCTTTGTGTGCTTCTATCTTGCAATACCACACACTTTAGCTTGAACTTCTGCACTGGTTGGACATAATTTTGTTGTGCTTGCTTTCTATCGTCATAGCATAAAAAATGTCAATATTCTGTGAACGGGCACAACTAGAAAGCCAAGCAGTTCTGGCCACAAATGGCGACTGGACTTAAAACTGCCTCGACTGCAAAGTTTTTTTAGATATTACCAAGTCAACATATCAGCATATGATGCAATCAGAATTCTTCCTCTTCAGTATAGATCTATGGTCTATCATATACAATACAAAGTCCGTAATCCGGATGTCCATTATCCGGAATGATCTATAATCCGGACCTCAAAGCCACAAACTTTTTTTTGTATGCTTTATGCATGCGCGTTTAATGTATAATGGACAGTATAAGCTAAGCTAAAATTATCTTTACTGATTCTAAGGCATTTCTGTTAATGTTGCAGATTGCACTGTTCCTTAATCTTCTAATTGGATTAGCTTATTATTTTTTGCAGACTGTTAAAGCAATTTTATAAAAATTAAGCTTGAACTTTCGATTATGTCAAAAAGAGTTTCCAATTCTGGAGCTGCCAAAGGATCTACAAAGTGAAAGCATGTTTCGATGTCCATGAAACAAAAAGTGGAATTGCTGCAAAAAATGGATAAAGGCACATCCGTCTCAAAATTATGTGAGGAGTATTGGAAAGTCAACTGCATGTGACATAAGCAAAAAGAAAAAGGAACATTTTGAATTTTTTGTGGATTCCAACACTTTACTTGCAATGAATAACAGAAAAAGGTTTCGTTATGCTAAAAGTGATGACTGAATGGGTCAGACAGCATCCCAGCGAGGGCGTGCCATTGACGGGTCCAATGCTGATGGCTCAAGCCAAAATATTTCATGAAGAAATTAACTTAAACACTGAGTGCACATATTCAACAGGTTAGTTAACCGAATTTAAAAATCACCATGGTATAAGACAATTAAAAACTTCAGGTGAAAAAGCTTCAGCTGATACTGAAGCTGCTGAACAATTTGCAGATGAATTCATTGAACTCATTACTAGTGAACAATTATCTCCAGAACAAATTTACAATGCTGATGAAACTGGTCTTTTCTGGCAATATGTACTGCGAAATACTTTGGCAACCTCTACAGAAAAGGCTCCAACTGGTGTCAAAGATTCCAAAGCGAGACTAACAATTTTAACGTGTGCAAATGCTGCAGGAACGCACAAGTGCAAACTTTTCGTAATCGGAAAACATGCACAACCTCGAGCATTTAAAGGAATGACATTTTTCCCGTTATATATCGCACAAATAAAAGAGCTTTAATGACACAAGCGTTGATGAATTATTGGTTTGAAAATCATTTTATAACCGAGGCTTGGCGACATTTGAATTTGGTTAGTTTACCTGATGACTCAAAAATAGTCCTGATTGTCGACAACTGTTCAGTGCATACTTCACTTAAAGTTTTAGTGAGAGATAATGTATCTGTTTTATTCTTCCCTCCAAACTGTATGTCTATCATTCAGCCTATGGATATGAGAATAGCGCACACGCTGAAATGCACATATAAAGTAGCATTTTTAAAATCTATGTTAAATTTCTTGAACAATGGCAAGACTATTCAAGATTGTTTGAAATTTTTTAGCATAAAATCTGCTGTGTGGAGCATCACAAAATCGTGGGAGGATGTGTCTCCAGATACGTTAAAAAATGCTGGCATAATTTATGGCCAGCTACCATATTTCATGGTGAGGACGATGAAGATGATAGCTGTGAATTTGAAGGTTTTCAGACATGGCAAAATAAAGGTGAAATTTTCCAGTTATTGGATTTTGTAAAGAAATGTGGAGAAGCGAGAATAAATGAAGATGATATAGCAGAAGTTTTTTATTGCAATGACAATGCCCCAATCAGCAATCAATTAACGGGCAGCGAAATCTGTAGTATGGTTCTAGATCTAGAAAATACTGCTTCCGATAGTGAAGAAATTGAGAGAGAGGTTATTGAAAATGAAAAAATTTCGATTGACAAGTTAGTCGGTATTCTCGACATAGCAATTACAGGAATTGAACAGTGGAACTTCGTAACTGAACAAGAAATTATGTCTTTTTATAGAAATAAAAAGAAAGTATTAGCACAAAAAACAAAGCAACTTAAACAACTTACATTGAAAGAAATGTTTAATAAAGTAAACAAATAAATATTAAGCTTTTTTTTTTTTTGTAAATTTTGATACCCTTTAGATCATAATTGCTCTTTATTTCACAAATTACGGTTTCATATTTTTAATTGTATAATTTCTGCATGCCATCTTACCAGATTTAAGTTTATGTTCTAAAATTCAGAAAAAAACCTAATCCCGAATCGCCGAAGTCCCAATGAGTCTGGATTACGGACTTTGTACTGTATAGCTATTACGCATCGATGCGGCTTTGTTTTTTTTTCTTGTTTTCATTACATATATTTTAAAATATTATTGCTACATTATATGATAATAAATACTGCGTTTTTATTAAAATAAGATGACAAATGGTAAAATCCACACATAATTTTATTTTTCAATAATACACATTATCCCTGTGGGTGCATTATGCATCCCACAATTTTGTTCAGCTTACATCTTAAGCAATGGACAAATTTAGGAAAGGAAACTTTGACCAGAAGCAGTTGAAATCTGTCACGCCCTGTTTGCAAAAATATACAACTCTCTCACGAACATTGTAAGAGATGAGATGTAGATACGCAGAAGAAAAAAAAAAAAAGAAAAAAAAAGAAATATATATATATATATATATATATATATATATATACATACATATGAGTCACTCAGACATCTGGGTGATTATTGTGTTTTTCTATTAGAAAGATATTGTGCACTATGAATTTGTACCATGTGCTCAGACAGTTAACAAGGAAATCTACCAGAGAATTCTAACATGAATGAGAGATGCCATGTGTAGAAAGAGATCTGAACTGTGAAGGAATCAATCGTGGATGTTGTATATGACAATGCTTCATCTCATGCACCACTCTTTTGTATCCAATTATTTGGCAAAACACTGCACTTCTGTTATGTGCCATCCACCTTATTCTCTCTTTGCCAAACTTAAAATCACTCAGGAAATTCAGGAAAGTGCAATGAGAGTATTACAGGACATTAATAAATAAATAATATACGACTGAAAATTTGTATAATGAGCAACAAAGTAAGTACAGCATAGGTCTCATTTTGTTTTGAGCAGTCCTCTTACTTTGAAAGAAACATACAATCATGTACTGTCTAGCAGGAAATTAACAACAAACATGTTTTCAATGAGGAATTAATTGTTAATAGTATAATTTGGTAATGCTGATGCCTGATAGAAAAAATGTTATATCATATAAATTCAAATAAATATGACATGCAAGTTAGCTCCTTATTTTGGTTGAGGTCTAGCTGAAAGGCTTCAGGTTTTTGCACACCAATGGTCTGTCAACAGGTAGTACAATTTTTGAATTCTATCACGTAACTCATTAAATGTGATGTTAATGCAACGCTTGAATTAGAAAAACTGAACCCAAATTTGAAGCTGTAAAGCAGGTAAAAGCAAACAAAAAGCTTACTCTTAGATCAGAAATACCTTCACTGGTACAGCTTTTTGATCTGCTCATGAAGACCTGCATTTAAACAGCTTCTATTAGCTAAATTTTTATAATTACTTATTTTGGTCTTTGTTTTCATTAACTTCCATTTTTAAGATGATATTTACATTATTAAGAAAGTAAGAGAGCAAAATATTTAAATTATAATCTAATATGTACGAAGTGATAAAACATTTCACGACTGGATAAAGCTGGTCATGCCTGAGAGATTAAAAGATGGGATTAACTTGAAAATTGCCAATTCACACAGTAATACATATGTTTAACTTGAATTATCTTAGACGTGTTATATTTGATATCTTGGAGGTACATTTATAAGTTACAGTATCAAACTTACTTCATATATTACACTTTGCCAAATGAGATATGAATCATTTCCCCAGTAAAGGTTTTTTCAAGAATTCAGCCATGTTCTCAACAAACACGCTTTTATTTCTAGTTATTTACCTTTTCTGATATTAGTTATTCTATTTAATAAAAGCAGAAAACATCACATATTTTTTCTTTCAAAATTCAAAAAAGAAGCAACTGAAAAATATAGTAATCAATTTTCAACTTTTAAAATTAGAAGAACCCACATGAAGCATAGAAATACAATTAAATATATGTTTTAATTATTGTTGTTATATTAATAAACAACTGTTATTTTGTTAACTTAGTTATGTTTTAAGTGATGCAAGTACTAAAGGATGATTGTATTTACACAAATTGTATTTATTAATCTCAAAAACAAACAAAATATTGATATAAAATTCAGTTTACATGTACATTAAAATGGTACTAAAAGGTAAAAAATTATAATTTTATATTAAAAAAAATTACTAATCTTAGAAGTCTCAGTTTAAAACTTTTAAAAACTGTAATAACACTCTTTGAATATGACATTATACAAAATATTTGTTTCAACAAAAACAAGAATACATATATCAACATTGCACTTTATAAAGAATAAGGCCCCTTAAATCACATATCTCAAGAAGATATTCAAAGGTTTTCCCCTTTACCACAAAAAGATGAATGTACTGTCATGAAATGCATTTTTAGTCTGTCTCTTCTTTTGCAAGGGAAGTTGCATAGCTTGCATGTATAAGTGGTTCGTAGTAAATGTTTTTCCCTTAAATGTCTATTCAGATTATAAGACTTTGTGAAAAGAACATTACAGATCTTACATTGGTAACGTCTTTCTGCAATTAAATGTTTGAAAATTAATTACATTATATTTTTTTCAAACTATGAATATACTATTCAAACTATGAAAGTCTAAATATTTAAAATTCTGGATCTTATAGTAGAGCATACATTTTAAGACATGTATTTCAAATGCTTAAATACTATATTTCAGGCATTACATTAAATGATTTTACATTAGATTTTCTTTTAAACAACATGATTGGATATCAAATTATCATAATATTAAATATATTTTCACAAATATTAATAGAAAAGTTCTCCATATCATTCTAAATGGCATAAGTATTTAAAAATTTTCTAAATGCTGTGTTTAGGAAAACTGGAAAAAAAAAAAAATCTACTGACATATGCACATATGACAATACATAGGAAAAGATATAAAGGTTTATTAAAGCAACATTAAATTAAAATTGCCAAAAAATATACAAAAATGGTGAGAACTGTCATTAACTTGATATTACCTTCTTACATTCACTCATTTTTAGTACAGATGGTTAATTTTTGAGAATTTCCTCCAACAGGATATTTCCTCTTACACTAAAATATATATAATGTGTCTAAAATTCACCATTTTGAAGTGTTGGTAGTTCCAAATTTCTAGCTTCAAATTTCTGATGTTCAATAAATTAATATCTTAGATTTATCAAGACGGTTTACATTGCATTTATTATGAAAAAAGGTAATATAAAATGTACTGAATTATCACTGTGATTTGTAACATTAACTCATATAAAAATACAACTAAACAGAAATATTTTCGACCTTTATATATACATACATATACAGTGTTTCTGATTAAAAGCTCACCTGTTACAAGTTCTCCACAGCAGTACATATTAATCAGAAAGCTATGACATTTTAAGACACATTTCTTGTGTAATGGGGGGGGGAAATCTGAAAGGTTTCAAATTTTAAATTACGTCCAAAGGGGCATTTTTTAAATGTTTTGTGCATTACCTTTATTTATTAAATATCATGTTCTATGTACTCAAACTATAAAATGGATGATTACATGGAATTATTAGGGAAGATTACATTATTCAAATTTTCATGGCTATAGGTACCGTTGCTTTACCATAGTGTGAGAAACATACACACATTTATGCAGATTCTTCATTATTTAATTTCTTTAAATATAAGACAGAGCGATAATATATGGTGGCAATGATTTGAAAAGTGATACAGTCTTTTAAAGTTTTAAAGTGATACAGTTGTAGTCCTTCAGGGCTTTTTCCCTTGACAAGAACTCCAGGACAGAATCAATCCTATAGGCCTTTATGTGCTTTACATAATCAAGTAATTTAAATACACATACATGTCTATCAGCAAACATTATAAGTACACTTTTTCTTCCCAAAATTACATGGATTTACATCTACTTGAAAGAGCCAATATTGCTCCTGTAAACACATTCTGTTCTAACTGTATTCTTTCACAAATATGTAAATAAAATATATGTAGTATTTAATTTATGTCATAACTACAAATATAAGAAGTTAAGCAGGATAGTTCCAGATGGAAAATAGTACTATTTTTCTTACAGGTAGCCATTATTCAAAATTGTTCTCGGCATCAAATATGCAAAGTTGAAATGCAATTTGCAATTGTGATTCAATTATACTATACTTATGTAATTGTAGAGGACAATTACTTTTACAATTAAATAACTGGAATTATCAGCAGCAATTACAGTTAGAGCTGATATATATTTACAAAATAAATTGTAAATATAAATTTTAATATAAATAGAATTAAATTTACAAAAAAGATATTATTTTGTAACTGTAATTACAATGATATTATATATTTTACAACTGTGTGACTGAGTTTCGTATTTTCAGGGGTTAAGTTTATGTCTATCAGCAAACATTATAAGTACACTTGGGGTAAACTGTTAAGTTTATGAATATAAAAAACTACATTTTTGTTCAAGTTTTCGTATTTATCTACTTTTCCTGTACTTTCTGCTGATTAATTTATAAAACACGTTAAAAAATCATCTAAATCTAAATAAATGTATATATGTATTTTTCGAGTTTTGGAAAAGAGGGGGAGCGATCTAGCAGTGGTGAAAGGGGTATGTGGGTTATAAAAGGTTGAGAATCATTGACCTAATGATGGTTTCCAAGCTAATAGCAGCTTGGGGAAAAATTCGGTCTACTTACTTTTTAACCACACTTGGTTATGTGTAAAGAGGTGATATATTAATTTTAGGTACAGAAACAAAATGCCATACTCTCAAACGTATATGTTCTATTAAAAAGTAGTTTTAGGTTTATATCTACATTTCATGTAATGAGAAACTATTTACAGCAATTAACTAAATTTTTTCATAAATATAACTTATCATTTTAAAATTATTTTTAATTGATAATTTAAGCACCCTGAAGGATGTATCAGTTTTTAATATTGTTGAACAAGGTAACTTATCAGTGGTTTCACATTGTTAACTATTTTCTGTACTAAATTTTAAGAACAGAATGAATCAAACTTAATCACATATAGGTACTAAAGGGTGAAATTTAATGACAATACTTTGTAGACATTTTTTTTTTGAATAGATAAAATGAATTAAGAAATATTTTTTATCTTACATGTCTTCTTTAGTGTAAACAACTTGGGAGAGGAAATAAATGATGCTTAATTTGATATGAAGATATGTTCATTAATACTAAAATTAGGTTTATCAAAGTATCGGATTCTTTTCCTGGTAAAAATAGGCATAGGTTAATCTCCTGTAGTTCTAGTGTTAACTAACAAGGTAACAATAAGTGAGTTCTAATATTACCTTTCTATACCAATTTTTTGTTTAATAAACTGACTTGTAACTAGTTAAATAAGATTTTTATATTATTTTTGCCTTCTATGAAAAAATACATGTTCATGATTTCTTAAGAGATAGCAGTTACCTTTATCTACAGGCATTACACTGATGACTAATTGCAGATTTTTATAAATTTATAACTTGATAGGAAAATTTTAATTTTACAAAAATTGCACAGAATTGAATTTTTTATTGACAGATTTCCCAAACTGATAAAAGGATGACATACATAATTATCTTGTTTAACTTAAATTTATTTAACGGAATTATGAAATGTGATGCTTAATAAAATAAATAAGCAGAAAATTTTTAACAAACTTAAAGACAGCTGTACAAAATAGTCATCAGAAGAGGATTTATGAATGATTACACACTGATTAACCAGCAGGCACATGTAGACAGGCCACAGATTCAGACATGTTAAAAAGAATTTTGTTCATCACCATTGGCTAAAACCATAAACTAAACTATGTAAATAATTTGAAAATTTATTTTAATGAATTTTTATACATTTAAAATAGACATTTCCACTAACAGAGCCTCTTATATTTCCTTTACCCCAAAAGAATTCATCCAGAATTTAAAGAAATAAATTCCATGTTTTAAAATCCAGAATTTAAAGAAAAACATTCCATGTTTTCAAGAGCTTACAAAAGAAAGGTGACTACAGCTTTTATTTCCATAAATACTTATCCTAAGCCTGTATTTCTATTTACACAGTTTCCAAAATAAGGTATAGAATTTTGTGAAAATACATCCAGCACTGAAGCGAGTTCAGTAAATGCAAAATCTAACTTTTTATATATTTTTTGTAGACGAAAAGTGCAATTAGTAAAATGCTGATCTTGTTTTAATATTATATCAATATGTGTAAATTCAGCAGAGGTATTTGAGAACTAATTAACATAGATAACTTCTCAATGAGTAATTTTGAGCACATTTAGGCAGATGTTACAAAACAAGGTAATTTTGGAAGTTAAATATTTCAGGCTGAAAACAGAAGCAGTTAATATAACTTAGCAGTTGACTACAGAAAACTATCAGAACAAAACTCGGGGAACTTTTCTGAAAAATACATGCAAACTTTTACATTTAACTTACTAAATCATAAAAATATACATTAACAAGAATTTTTGCTCTATGACAGTCATGTAAGAAGTTCGGTTTTGTATCTAAAGAACCTTCTCTCTCAGTGCTCATACTGTGTTCATAAAAATTTTTCACTTGAGTGTTATAAAGCTTGTAACTGATACATAAGTGTTATGTAATTCTGAGCAATTTATTATATGCAAGAGAAAATTATGTAGTCATTTAAGCACTAATTTTAAACCTATGATATTAATATACACTTTAAAATTAATCTACACATATATCAGTGTCAGTGGAATATTCAGCTAAGCTCAGTGATTTCTGAATCTTTCACTTCAATTTCGAGCACAAAACTGTCTGTAACTATCACAATGCCTAGGGAAAAACTGGATAATTTTTTTTTTTTTTTTTTTTTTTTACAAAAACGTTTACATAATTTCTCAGAATTCTTCAGAACGATTTTTCCCAATACAATTTTTTTGTTACCCTGTTAGTATGCTGGTAAGGGAACTAGCTGCCAAAGTCTTCGGTCCACATTTGAATCTAGGAAGAGGCATAGATCTTCATAAGTGTCAAGTGTGCATGTGGATCTTTATAACTGTCAACTGTGCACGTGGCATGAGAACACTCAAAATAGTGCCAAACTTAAACTCTTCTTGAGATGTTGGTGGAAGGCATGGGGGAAGACCATTGAATTCATCTCCCAGTGGATTCTCATTCAAAATCAGAATGAAATAAGGCAAATTTTTGTCCGTTGTCCAAATGATGAATCAAGAGAAGGTGCATATCTCATTGTTACGTTAAAATTTGTGGTCTACTATTTAATGTTATTGTCAGACAAATGAGATAAACACAACCTAATTTCTTTTATATATGACAAAATTACTTTCTTTAAAAATAAATTTAAAGCATACTGAATTTTTCACATAATAAAATTTAAATCAATACTTTTTAAAATTTAAACTGTAGCATCAGTTCAATTACAATAAATGGCAAATAATTAGCATGTTAAAAAATCAAGAGACATACATTAAAAAATTAATAAATATAATAAATTATACCTACTTTTTATAAATATCCTATGTACCGCATAATTTGCAATAAAGAACAAAATATTAAGTAAATAATTTATAAAACACCATGAAGATTTTTCATGTGCACTTTTAAGTTATCAGATCGAGAACATGTTACACCACAAATGCCACATTGATAAGCTGCCCCTTGGTGAGTTTTACGATGTCTGCTAAGGTTGCTAGACATTGTGTATAATCGCCCACAGATATCGCAGCTGTACTTCCCTAAAATAAATATTTTAATTAAGTACATTAAAAAAAAAAAAAAAAAAAAAGTAACAGCAGTTGAATAAATTTTAACCAGATTTTTTATATAGATAGTAATATACCAGATAATTGCTTTCTAAATGTACTTACTTGAGAATTTTTTTCGGGAAAAAAGTTACAAATAAAATGTGTATAAATTGTTATTTAAATGATTGTTAAACATATTTAAAATAATATGTGTATAGGAAGGGGAGAGAAGCAAATAACTTTGAATGCAAACATAAACAATTATCTCTTATAATGGCCTGCTTTACTAATTTTTTTCCCTTTTACTGATTCCTTCCAGCAAATGAGCAAATAGTGGTGACAATTTCTGCACCCTCAAAAGCTAACATACATTGCATCTTTAGTTACATTTAGCAAATATTTAAGAATGAGGAGTTATAAACATCAGTTAGTTCAAGATTTCTGTTGCACTAATTTCAAATAATCTTTGCATAAAAAAAGGTTAGAAACAAGAAAATATGCATAAATTTGGATAAATTCGGTCAATAATAATAAACTTTGTTAACCTAGCTATGTATGTGTATATGTGGGGAGAACCCCCACAGGCTGCATGCAGTCTGCCATTAGGTGTCTTTGTTTTGCTCTCTGAAACTTTTTTTTTTTTTAATGAACTGTAACAGATGAAGGATGGTGCATTCAAATCAATATGAACATATACTACTTTGAAAGGTTTACACAGCCTAAATAATAATATTACTTTGATCACAGTTATGCGATTTTTAGCTATAGTAATGTTATTTCATTACATAAAAAATATATGATAATATATTCTCATGAGGTTTTGGTTGTCCCAGAATTACTTGCAATGAACTTTAAGCCATGTAAAGTCTATTCTTAGTAAAGCATAACTAAATTCATCTATCAACATGTTAATGTGAACTATAATCATTCAAAATGCATGATGAATAAAAGTAAAATTCACAAACTTTTCTAGAAATTCAGATTTATATATAATGGATACACTAAAATTTAAAATACTAATACAATACCTAGTGCTATAAATTTATCTGATTTTATATCATCACATAAACGTGGAGAGTCCAAAAAACAGTAGTTATTTTTATTGCATTATGTCTGCATATTCAAACACTTGACATACGTGAATAATGAATTTTAAAAATCAATAACTTCTGTTCCAAGAGTTCTTTTCTCTCTTTTCATCCCCCTTTCTTAAATGAATGATACAAGGTAAAAAAGTAAACACTGAAAGTCTAATTTATTTAAACACTTTTCTTCAAATTACAGTATAATATCCACTATGTAGTCTTTTTAAAAACTAAAAAACCTTTTTATCACTTACATTTTTACAACTCAATTCTGATCTGTTTGTACTTATTTTTCTATGTTATTTTTAAATATTTTACAATATATAAATTAATTTTGTGAAAGCTATACATGAGAATTATCGTTTTAAAGACACAATTTTTAAAACTAAGCTTATGCCAAGCATTTAAATATGAGGTTTTCAATAAATTCTAAACATGATGTAACTTTTGCAGAATAATAAAATTTGGCGAAATAATTGCATTGCCCTTTTGAACCATAAAAAGTAAAATTACACACAGAAAATTTTATTATTTTTGAAAGGCTGTTAAATGTTGCCAGAAATTGATATCAGTTAATTCTGAAAATATCAGAATCTGCTCGACCGAGTTCTTGCCAAAGATATATGACATTTCCATTGATGCATGTTTGCAGTCTACAATAATACAGCGATTTCTTATGTCATTATAAAACATGAACTGAGATGTTCAAACAGGATAATGCTACTCAAAGATGATTCTAGAGCAGGCTGCAGTGCAGACATGACCATTAATGAAATGCATTCTAAAATCGAGGCATATAATAATGAAAAATAGACAAATGACAGTTTCTCAGGATATTATGGAAACAGTTCCTTACTGACTTGATTTCATTGGCTTTTCACTACATATGGATCAGTGGAAAAATTCTGCATGAAATACAGGGGATGTCAAAAGTGATGCAGATGATATTAAGAATATTGATGCCATAAATGAAGAAATGCTGGACTAAACATTCTTGAGAACTACTCTCCATGATAAATGCAGAAAATTTTTTTATGGCTGCTGACAAGACATGAAATATAGCTTCACTATTTTGACCCAGAAATGAAATAAAAGAACATAATGTGGAAACATTGAGAATCTCTTCCAATCCCACAAGCTCAGAATCCAGAAATCTACCAGCAAAATTTGGGTACCATTTTTTTGGAATGAAAACGGACTACTGCTTATTAATAATAAGCCACAATACAATGGGTACTTATAATTTTATTACAGCTCTACTTCTGACAAGCCATAAAGTTAAAATGCCGCCGCCATCTTAGCAAAAAAGTGTTGCTCTTTTGCACAACAAAGTTCCATCTCCCATTTCCTAGACTGCTGTTCAGCAATGCAGATTTTAGGTTTCTCTTCCATCCAATGTGTACACTAATTAACCACAGGTGGCTCCTTTTTATTTAGCAAACTGAAGAAACATTTACATTGTTCTTGGTACAGCAATGATGATAATGTTCAGGAATGATTTAAAGGCAGTGGAAAATTCAGCAATGTTGATTTCGGTTTATCCTCTATTCACTGAAGTTATCAGATTTGGCCCTAAATAAAGTTTTTTTTTGTTAAAAAAAATTAAAGCAGCATTTGCGTAAACCATATATTTGTATATATATATATATATAAATAGAAAACTGAACAATATTATCTTAAAAAAAAAAAAAAACATTATTTTTTTTTAAAATAAATAATTGCAAATTTTGCAATATCTTTAGAACAGGAGACATAACATCAAATATTTTCAAGAGAGAATTATGGCATCAAACAACAATTTTTTTAAAAAAATAATTGTATACTTTTTAATTTAATGTATATATAAATATGGTGAAACTATAAATGTAGTTACTAATTATACATAATTCTGCAAGGATCACTGACTGGTAGTGCTCAAATAACTATCAGTTATTTAGATTACACATGAAATTTAGAACAGATAAACTTTATGAACTGGTTAAATCTGATAGTGATTGCCTGAATTATTCCATCATTGTATTGCCTCAGAAGTACATAAAAATATATATATACGAGGGCTATCCAGAAAGTAGATTACGTTTTGGAATAAAAAAATAAACAAAGTACAGGAAACAAATTTTATTATATACAGATGAAAGCCACACTCAAATACTACTTTTCTACATAGTCACCATACAAATTAAGGCATTTATGTACGAGCTTGGAAATTCCTTCGTCGAAAAATTCGGCCGCCTGCGCCTTCAACCACTTCGTTACCTCTTCTTGCAGCTGTGCGTCGTCATCAAAACGCTGCATAGCCAGCCACTTCTTCATTGCTGTGAATAGGTGGAAGTCGCTCGGTGCCAGGTCGGGACTGTACGGCGGATGAGGAAACAACTCCCACTTAAAAGATTCAAGAACTACGAGTGACATTTGCCGTGTGGGGCCGGGCGTTGTCGTGAATCAACAAGCTCAACATTCCTCTGCGCTTGTTTTGAATTGCTCTTCTGAGTTTTTGGAGAGTTTGATAATACCTTTGAGAGTTTATTGTAGTGCCTCTTTCCAGGAAGTCCACCAAAATTACACCTTTTCTGTCCCAAAAAACAGTCGCCATCATCTTCCTTGCCGACATTGTTTGCATGCATTTCTTGGGTTTTTAGGGAGAACTTGTGTGCCCCCACTGCATTGATTGCAATTTCGTTTCACAGTTCACATGTTTCGTCACCAGTAACGATGCGATCGAGTAAAGAGTCACCATCCTTATGGTAAGCGTCCAAAAAGTTCAACGCTGCAGCCATTCGCTGATTTTTGTGGTCCTCTGTCAAGATTTTTGGAATCCATCTTGCACAAAACTTGTGGTAACCAAGCTTTTCGCTTATGATTTCGTGCAACAAACTTCGCGAAATTTGTGGAAAACTCAAAGAAAGTTCCGTTATTGTGAAATTTCGATTTTCACGGACTTTAGCATCGACTTTTTCGAGAAGTTCGGCGGTCACTATGCTGGGTCTCCCACTTCGATCTTCGTCGTGAACATTGGTTCGGCCATTTTGAAATCTTATGACCCACTGACGCACTCCACCTTCAGTGATAATGTTGTCCCCATACACTTCACGAAGCTGCCGATAGATTTCTATCGGTTTACAGTTTTTTGCAGTCAGAAACCTTATTACTGAGCGCACCTCGCGGGATTTTCAATTAACGCAGACATTTCAAACCGTCCCAGTATCTGAACGGAGCACAGCACGAACCTCTCACTAGCACGACTAGATGCAGACTGAGCTGCGCAACGCTCTGACCCCAAGATGGCCGCGCTAGCCCCGCCCCTAGCGGACACAGACGGAAACGTAATCTACTTCCTGGATGGCCCTCGTATGTATATAAATTCCAAAATATCTAGTGAACAGCAGTAAGGCTTTAGAAAAGTAAGGATGAATATGCTTGATCTGCATGAGATACACATTAATTGTGTATCTCATGCAGATTCAACCAAATATAGAGAAAAGTAAGGGTGAATATGCTTAATTAATGTGTATCTCAGGCAGATTCAACCAAATATACAGGACAAGGGGTATACACTCTTACCAATTACACTATAAGAAGTGGCAGTAACTTTTATTTAAATCTTTAGCTGGTATTATATGTAAATAAGTTACAGAAGTTACCAATTCACAAAGGTACAATTTTTAACACCATGCCACAGGACTATTAATGTGGGCAAGTTTTTTTTTTTTTTTTTTTTAGATGAAATGCTTGGTTTAATGAATCTCATTATAAATTGACAAGATACCGGTAGAAATATGTATTGGTGGAAAACCAGTAAAATCATGTCAACAAAGAATTGCCCAAACAGATTATCTTAGATTGAGAAATGTTTGACTGCTATAAGACTTCTGTTATTTTCAGACAAATTTTAAATGCCAAAAGAGGGGGAAGCAGGAATTTCTGCAGGGGAAAAAAGGGGGAAGGAAGATGAGGGCAAAAAAAGGATATCCCACTGGCACATGGTAGATGAGCTGGCCACTGCACATGGTCAAATCCCAGAAAAGGCATGGATATTCATAAGTGCATAGTGTTTTCATAGCATGGGGAATTTAAATACTGCCCAGCCAAAAGTTCTTTAGAGAAGGTGACACACAGAGAAGAGAGGTGGGAGACCCTTGGATGCATCTCCTAATGAATTCTCCTTCAAAACAACAATGGAGTTGCACAAATTCATAATATCACTTATAAGAGCCAAAGGTCAGTCAGTCATTGGCCTACGAAAATGACAGGCATAACCCTTGTGCTCATGGCTACAATTAATGTATCAATATCTGATGTTACTGTCAGATTAGTGAGTGAAAAGTCACAACAACAATAACTAATGATATTACTGCAATGACATAATAGACTGTTAATTAAGTAACAAATGCATGAGCTTCTGGCAAATAATGTTCTTATATAAGGGATTCATACACTAAATTATTCTCCTGTATAATTGCCAAACGTATAAAAGCACAGAAGAACTTATAATTTAGTACATAAATTATGCAATGGATAGAGAAAAGCTATTAAAATGTAATAATTGTTCACCACCTTGTTCAAGATATTCAAATAAAGATAAAGGGCATCTTACATGTAATGCATGAAAAAATGACTATATTTTTAAATGGTTCTTTAACTACAAAGAAAAATCTAACTATATCAGTAGAAGAAAGGTGAAGAAAGAGAATTTTTGAATCTAGCCCCATACTTTAATAAATTATACTTTATACATAATGCCAAATATTAAACTAAATTTTCAACTGTACTTTATTTACAGTTTTACAAAGCATGAAACTTGCAGCAATAAACAACTGTTTAATAGATGGAGATCTGCATTCAGTAAAATAATGGAAACATTGCAAAACTTGGCAAAGAAATTTTCTGCAGTACATGGAAATAAATTTTAGTTATCAGGAATTTTCACCAAAATAGTTTTTCACCTATGCTGACAAAGAGGTAAACTGACATAAAATAAATTTTGATGATAACATACATTCATAAAATAGTACTATATAAAGATTATTTTTAAATGCAAGAAATAAATTACAAATTTTAAGGTCAGGATTGTGTTAATACTACATTTAAATACACATTTAAGTAATATTCTAATAGTAAAGAAGTGCATATTCAAATAATAAACATTAAAATCATTAAATTTATAAAATCAAAGAAAAGTAATAATTAAATTTAAAAAAAAAACTAAACTGAATTTTAAAGTTTCAGATAAAAAATAATAATACATGAAAAATGCCTAGAACTAAAAGATTTTACAAGTAGGATACCATTAAACTGTTGCTATGAACCTGATTAAAATAAAAAGCAAAACATATCAATATAATGCACAAGCTACCTAATCTATAATTAAACTTCTTTTGCTTGTTTGTGCTTTTGAGATAAAATGTTTATTATTCTGAATAAAATGAGAAAGAAATAAAAAATCTTATCCTGCTTTAGCGTTCTTTATACTGAACTCTTTTACTACAATATCTTACATAAATTTACACATTACTTTCTAACATTTTTCATATAGTATGAAAATAAAGACAAAGTATACATTTGAATTATACTAATCACAAGTACTGACAAATAATCCTTAGTTTTCATTAAACGATAATTGTCTTATCAAATATAATGAAAAATCTTTAAATTTCAAAATATTTAACAAATTATAAATGCAAATTGTATGTATACATCCATACACATCCATACATATAACTATACCTAAATTTGTAAATCAAATACATATTCTCTATAAATATTTGCACTGCGTCATATGAAAAAAAAAATAAAATAATAAAAAACAGAAAAATAAATCATTATAATATACTTTTAAAATGAGGGAAAAAAAAAAAGTCCTTTTGTAATTCCACAGAAAATACAATAAAAATTGAATTTTTAATTTATATTTTTAAGTACAATTAAGGTTGCAAAATGCAATTTTACTTTAATTCATAGCTTTAAACATGAAATCCACATATAATTTTAAATACTGCATTATATGAAATGTCAAGTACTGGACAATAAACATACATAATTTAATTAGAAATCTGGACTTTTATAAGTTGACATCATATGTATATCATATAATTTGGAGGGGGAACTTGAAAACAATAGATGGCAAATCTTAGGTACACTGCAGGGGGGGGGGGAGACCGGACAGTTCTATATTTCCCGTTGTACTGGAGCAATTGACGAAATTCCAATTGCTTATTTCTCATCTCGAAAGCTCGACTTAGGATATATACTATTACATTTATATATAGTGGTTATCGTAACATAGGTACTTTGGCATAAAACCGGACTTTTCTGAAATAACATGCCAATTTTTTACCATATTTCGATTCTACGACTCAAACTATGCCTAAATATTAAATTTTGTAAAATTCGGGGAGAAATTCAAAAATTTACAGAGAAATTCAAAAATTTATCTTGGCGTATTTTTTTTCAGTTTTCGCCAAAAATAATTGACATGGCGGACTTCTTAATTTATAGCAACCTATTTTCCTTTTCTTTTTTTCATTACAGCCGAGCGGGAAAAAAAGCCATCGTTCATGCTTTCAAATAATTTTAACAAAGTGCGTAAACCAGATTTAGCATTATTATCGCACACACACAAAAAGATGCCAAATTTCAAACTGCTCCAATATGTACATTCATGTATATTTTAGAAAATTATGAATAAAAAAAACCTCTAATTTTCTGCAGGTGTGCCTAGAAATACATGTACTTAAAGACGATATAAAAAAATTTATACGTAAAAAAAGACAAAATTTTTTTCAAAAAATTATAAAAAATATTTAAAAATACAAGTTTAAGAAATAAATCACAAAAATGTACGAATTATATTTGGATTAAACCTAAATTTCGAATTCTGCAAGAAGGAATCAAGTAACTTTACTAAAAAAGGAGATATTAATAAATATATATCAAATTCGATTAACAATGAGGAGTTAAAAGTTTGAGAGCTAATTTTTTAAAAACTACTCGTGAGATTTTTAAAAAACATGGCTGTTTTGCATAATGAGTCGAAGAATCGAAATATGGAGAAAAATCGACATATCACTTCAGAAAAAGCCGAACTTTGTGTCAAGATACCTACATTAGAACAACGCTATATATAAATCTAATGCATATCTTAAGTCGCGCTTTCGAGATACGAAAAACACAAGTTGAATTTTGTCAATCGGCCTAGTAGAACGAAAGATATAGAACTGTCCTTCCCCCCCCAAAGTGTACATAATATTTTACAGTGGACAAGTGGAAAAGAATGAACACTAGAAATATAGTTCCACTTGAAAAGTTTCCTGTATTTTATGCTGGTAAACAATTATGAATGCACTTTTTGTGCCTCAATAAACTGGATTCCCAAGCAAACAGTTGATTACAAATATTGCATTTGAAGTAATGCTTTACATCTGAATGCTTGTACATATGCCGCTCAAGAGAGTACTTGTTGGATAAATAACTGCCACAGATATGGCATTGCCATTTTGACATAACAATGGAAGAATTACTTTTTGCCTTGTTCTCCCAAATATTCAAGCCTGGAAGTGGGAAAAAAATAGAATCCATCTTGAAACATTTTTAATGATATAATAAAAATCAATACATGGAAAACAATTGTTCTGCATACCATGACTAATTTTAAAAAATGTTATATATAAAGGTTACATAAAAAGAACATTTTAAAATTTAAATGATACTTTTAAAATACCAGCGAAATCTGTGAAATTGCTTCAATGAATTCTATGAGAATAGTTATAAATAAAAATTAGATGTTAAAATATGTTGAATTATAAACATCTCATAAAAACAAGAATCATCATCACATTAAAGCATGGAAAAGTGAGACACCAATAGAAATAATTTATTGTAAGAAATGCTTACATAGGTATTCTTACTATGAAGTACTCTTACTTCATAGTATAATCTTACTCTACTGTGAAGATTACAGATTTGCAGCAATAAAAAAAATGTCTAAAAAATTACTGTTAAAAATACATATTACAATTGCTTTGATTTTTAAAATACAATAGTTATTTCACTTTCTTAAAATACACAGGAACAACTTTTAGATTTCATAAATAAAAATTAATGGAAAGAGAAACATAATATTAGATAAATTATATACTATTAGACACCACGTTCACCATGAGGGATTACTGGAATCACCAAATCATTTTTGTCCTATCTTTTTGCACTTAAATTTAGGCAGCTAAATATATATAATTTATCAACTATCTTTAATTGCTCAAGACATCAACTAACTTTTGATACATTATGTTTTCTTCTTAGATGAAAATTTAAGCTTTCTTTCCATGAGAAATGTAAACCACACAGTTCACATGAATATTGAGGAGTTTCTTCAAAATGTCGACGCTCATGTCTAGCTAAAGAGTATTTTGTAGCTAAGTCCTTTCCACAAACAGAACATTTCCATATCAACTCACTGAAATCTGTAAACGAAAACAATCTACTTTTAACACCTGTTTTAGAACTTTGAAAATATTTTTTTTGAGCAACAAAATACACAAAAATTTTTAAAAACATTGAAAAATAATTTAATGAAATAAGACTTTAAATCTTTTAAAATATTAAAAATTCAAAGTTTTGAAATTAAAATTTTGAATTTTTGAACTTATTTTTGAAAAATTTAAGTATCATGCTTCTAGTTGCGTCAAAGTTAAAGAAATGAATTATGATTTACAGGGAAGTAGACTTGGGTATTAAATTTCATATTCTGTAACTAAATTGATATATGTATCTCATAACTAGACTGATAAATATAATAATTGGATTAATATTTTCATCCATTAATGTTTTCTTTAAGATAATTACATAGAAATACTTATAAATTTTATAATTTCCTACCAGCAGTTTTGAAAAATTACAGACAAGAGTTAACAATTCATGACTTTTAAACAGATTATATAAACTAAGCTTTATTAAGGTTAAAATTTTACCACCAAAAAGTTAATTCAGATTTAAAAGAATTTAAAAAAAAAAATCTTTTCTTTTTTTTTGGGGGGGGAAGGTGTCAGCAATAAAATAAGAAACCATTATATCAAGAATAGTGTTTGTTAAAACTACCAATGAATCTTTTTAATTGATAAAAATTAATCTCCTTAAAATGTACTTAGCCTTTCCATATACAAAACCATATCTTATAAAAAAGATTAACTCATATAGTTTTTAGGTTCTATATTACTACTAAATTATTTGTTAAATTTATACATTGGGATACCTGCACTTTGAATTAATTAATTTATTTAAATAATGAAATACAAATATATTTACTTTGGAATCGTATTTTTTAAAACTGTATACACAAAGTAAGAAGAAAAATTCTAAATGAATACAGAATAAAAAACATGCTCTTTGAATATCAAAAGGTTACTCAAGTTTCTGAAAACATTTTATGTTTTAAAATTAAGCAAATGCTATATAGTAGGGCAGGCCAAACCAATCAATTATGAGCATTTTCTCTATAGCATTATAGGATTTTTATATTATGTGTTCCCGATACCTTGGTAGATCATGATGGCATTTCTATTATTAAATAATGGAGAATCTGTGTGGGTGTGTGTGTATATATTCAAAATAAAGTAATTAAAATTAAATAAAAAGCCTATGAATTAATTTTAATTTACAGCGATCAATGACAATAACTACTTTTTCCATATTTAGAACTACTTTTTTTTTTTTTTTTTTTTAAGATTTTTTTTAGTAGATTTTTAAACAAGAAGCTGAAATTACTATTTAAAATACTAATTCTGACTAAAAAAAAAATTTTTTTTCATTCATGGTATTAAATTAAATTTGTGTTCCTTGGAGATGGTATATGGAAAGTCTTCTTATTGTAATTAATATATATATATACATATGTTCCTTACATTGTGAAAAACAATGGCACTTACAACCACCAAATTTCAAAGACATGCAGTACTCTACATGAGCATGTGTACCTTGAAGCCCAATGCTTGAATTTTTGTTTTCTTTATTTTATATTTCATGCAAAATTAAGGCAATTTTGATTAACAAAATCAGCAATTTAAAAAGCAATGTGTTACCACTCAGCTAAGCATAATATATTTATGTTTCAAATTTAATCAGAAATCTCAGCAATTTTAAAGAAATACGTTCCTACTTGGCAAAGCATAATATATTTGCCTTTCACATTAATCAACAAACTCGTGATATCACTGCCTAAAATAAAAAACTTTAATCTTGGACATCCTAGCATGCTGCCCTTCAGTACACTTAATTTTTCTTCTAAATTTAATTTGACAATTACTGATTACTAAATTAAGCAATAAGCAATAAACACAGTTCTTTATTATTATTAATTATTAGCAAGACCTATGAAATTACACTAGCTGTACTCAATAAAGTCATTGCATATATTTATTTTCTTTTTAAAAATAATTATTTTATGTGGCTAGTCCATAGAAAAAAAGCACCATTCATAAAATAGTTTGAAAGCCCTACTATAGAACATTTACACTGTGTCATATATTTCAATAGCATAAAATGTGCAAAATTTGTATAATATAAAATCTATCAATAATATATCATTTTTAAATATTATCATGAAGTGATGTAAATAAATAAATAAAAAAAACACTTTTTAACAAAATTATATTTAAATAAAAAATATACGGAATATTCCAAACAATAACTGAGAATGATTCTTACAGCATTAAGCTTATTCTCAAACACAAAAATATATCACACATGGTAGAACAGATTGTAAAATATATAATTTTTCTTTTCCATGTTGAGTATCACAGCGTATTTAGCTAACATTTAGGGTCGTACAGAAATGAATGACACAAATTTTGCCAAAGAGCGGAACACAATTTATTAACCCAAAACTGATAGTACATCAGTTAGAAATAATCCCCGCCCATGCAAATATACTTCTGCTATCTGGCTGTGAAGTCCCGAAGGGCTTTGGTAAACCGGTCTGGGGGGGCGTTGGTGCACCACCTAATGGACAGTTGCATACAGTTCGGCAGAAGATTCAACATGTTAGCCCCTGACTGCGTTCTTCATCTTGTCAAGCAAGGCATAGTCCGAGGTCCAAGATCCATCTATTTTGCACACACATCTGTCATCTCCAAATCACCATGTACAGTCACCTCCAATGTTCCTTGCACAAGCCAGCATCTTCTTGAATGTTATGTGCTCTTCCAGCATCTTGTTGAATGTTATGCGCTCTTCCAGCATCTTGTTGAATGCTATGTGCCTGTTCGCTATGATCAAATATGACACAGCTGCCACATTTGCTGCTGTATGTGATGTTACTGGTCATCCCAAAGCTGACACCTTTGGCTGCAGTCTCCCCTCCACTGCTGAATTTGGCCAACCAATGGGATATGGTACACCTTGAGGGTGCTTTGTTCCTGCCCAAAGACATCATGCAACGATGGATCTCACTATCCTGTATCCCTTCCATCCATAGGAACTACGATGTCCAATGCTGACCGTGATAATCACCTTCCATCATTGCTGTCCACGCTCTCAATGATGACGGCGAAATGGACGAGTGCTAACTTATACTGTTCGCTTGCGGCCGCATTCTGAATAGCTCATTGTAGCCTTGTGTCTATTTCACTTGTTTTCCCTTTGCATAGTGTAATAGTTTCGTTGTTAGAGCCATTGTGTCAATCATTTCTGTACAATCCAAGTATTAAAAAAAAGAGTTGCCATTTTATAGCTCATGCTGTTTCTGTAACCACATCAAAGCATGCTTAATTCTAACATGGCGAGTAAGATTTTCTTTCCATTTAAAGACAGCAGGACAAAATTCACAATTAAACATGCTTCTACAATCCATATGGGTTTGCATATGTATTTTCAAAGTTTGTCTTCTTGATAGAATTTTACCACAAACGTGACACTGAAGACTATTTAAATCTAGACCATCTAAAGTCCAAGTTCCTGAAAATAAATATATAAAAATAAATAAAAAATTTTCTTAAATACTTAAAAAGCATGTTTGTTTGAAATAATTAGTGAAAATAGTGAATTCATTAAAGTATATTACTAAAAGCCCCCTTTTTTTACAGCCATAAGAAAGGCGAGTTGAAAACATACATGTATATTTTTCATACATGAATGAAATCATAAAAAGAACTATCTTTCAATATTTCAAAGATTATGGGCAATTCCATGGCAATAATTACTATCACTATTACATTTTACAGTTGCAGAAGGAAAAATGAGTAATTTTTGGGAGGAGGAGTTCAAATTTTAAATAATCAATACATACTTTTATATTAAGATAATATAAAATCATGTATTAACTCATCTATCATGTATCAAATCTTAATCAAAATGTGATCTGCCTGATAAATTCTGTTCTAAACTTTCTTTATATCTGAAAATGCAGAATGCTATAGAAAAATTTAGTAAAGTGTTAAAAATTTTGTTTTATGAATATCATACAAACATACTGTAGAATGAAGCAATATCTTTGGTGCACTTTTATAGTATATGATATCTGCACTGATGCATTCCTATAATGCATGCAATAAGAAATCACTGAATTATGACTTGAGCACAATGCCGCATATTTGGTTTAGAAACTATAAATCACCAATTAGGCAAGTCTTATTTCATAAAACTGGAAAGGTACTACCTGGAATATGTTAGTATGCACAATAATGCTCTCCTGAAACGCAGCAGCCATAAGACCTTTATAATCTTTTAAAAAAAGATATGCTTTTCAGTGGCAAAATAACAAGTGCTTCACTTATACGAACAGAACAACTGGCTTACTACAAAAGGACGAACATAAGCAAAATAGTCACACAGCATCATAACAGTGGGCAAGTTTGTGATCACTAACCTTTACAGATGGACAAATTTCTTTATTTTTTCTACACTGAAATAATTTAGCGCATAACTATAGTACTATAAATTTATTTAATCTTGTACCTGTTGTTTATTATTAGTCACTTTAGCATTCAAGCAATCTGGTTTACATGTTTTACAGAAAGAGCATAGTCAGAGCAAATGAAAGCATTTTAAAACAACAGAAACATCAGTAAGGATGCAGCATTATTTCAGGAGTATAACATTGCTAGCATTTATTTCATCAGATGTTCTATCAGTCATAGACCATATCTTTATGATAATTTAATCCAAGAATAGTAAAATTTTTCTTACTTTTCTTGATGAAAAGGGAAAAGATAACTAGATATAAACTTTGGTTTTTCAATTTTAGAACTCAACTCCTATCTCAGCTATATATTTAGACTGAGTACATATGAGATAGATCAGCATGAACTGAGCACATATAGGACAGAACAATATAGAACTTGAGAATACAAGATTAACAGAAATACAAGTAACATAAGTGGAGTAAACAGAAATACAAGCTGTACATGCAAAATTGAAATATCAGTCCTATCTTACGATCACATACATTAAGTCACATTGTCTCTACAATGGGCATCTCGCACAGTGCTTTATGAATTATTTACAATATAAAAGTATCTCAGAAATGTACACATGATAAAATAACACAAATAAAAGCAATCTAATGAAAAAAGAAAATCTAGTATAAATCTAGCAAAGTATAAATTTCCATCTTTGTCATGAGAAAATTTTTTCTAGTGTAAGAGGGAGAAGAGTGAAAATGCTAATAAACAAAACTACCTCTGAAAAATATGCTTATGAACATATATTTAAAAAAATTCAAATTAAAACTTTTAGAGGCATATATGTAATATTCTAGAAAATCTGATATGCAGAAGTTCTTTTAGAACTATAAAATAGCATCTACAGCATGAAATACATATAAAAGAAGCTAAAGCTATAAACATATTTAAAAAAGTGTTTTTCCTGTTTTCCTAGGAATAGACACCAATATGCTAAAGATTAAAAATATCATTACAAAGCTACTGGGCCTTAAGAATCGGTAAAAATATTTTTTTCTTAACAAGTGAGGTTTGGAATAAAATAAAACTTATCAGCTCTGTAACCCTGATTTATATTAATAGTACAGAAAGCTATATATTTAAATTTCAAAAGCAAAAAAACCTATCTGCAATCTAATGAAAAAGTTATTAATAAATAACTAACATAAATTAACAGAGAAACTAATAGATAAAAACTAGCAGAATTTTTACAGTTCCATTATTGACAATAGAAATGAAACTTTAGTTTCTTCTACATCATCATTATTATAATATATCAGATTACATACAAATAATTTAAAAGAGTAAAATATCTATTGAATAAAATTTTAAATCTCTATGATTCACTCAAGTTTAATAAGAAATGATGTGAATAAAGTCTAACTAAATTATGCAAAGCAATACTGTGCTTTAAAAGCACCTGGAAATCTAAAATCATGGAGCAATAAAACAGCAAACCTTCAGATTTTTTAACCTTTTATCCAAACGAAAAATGCAATAATTTTTTAAAGCATAATAATGATATATTCAATTTTTTACTAAAATATAAAAACTTGTATAAGAATTTATAGTCATTTAAAGAAAAATTCTGTTTAAAAAGTAAATTATTAAAATTAAGACATGAAACACTGAAACTGATTTCTGAATTCTCCGTCACCATTACAATTATAATTAATACTGCTTTAATACTATTATACAAGAATAATTTTAGAAATGTTTGTCAATTACTTAAGTTTTCTTCTTCCCCTTTTTATATGTCTATATACACTTTAAAAATAAAGGATAAACTGCATTTTATTGCAACACATTAAGAAATTTACAGTGAACAGAGATACAAAAACACAAATTCCTTTTTCCTAAAGCAATTCAATTTTCCTGATGAAATAATTTTTGGCAAAGCTTTAATTTATTAATCGTTAATTTTTTAAAATTTTCATTTAAATAAACAACTGAAATTCTTAATTATGACATACTTTATGATAAACGTAACTTTAAAAGAAAAAATTAATACCTATATTTACATAGAAAAATTATCAATAAAAGAGAATACAATATTAAGGAAACAAATACTAATCCTATCTAATTAAATAATTACATTTCCCTTCTAATCTCTGTTATGAATATATAAAAAAGCTACTAGTTACTATGAGCACTTTCCTGACTGGAAAACCAGCATAAAAAATAATTTTAACTTTTATTAAATACTAATACAAAGAATTTCCTTCTCAAAACTGATAAAGTATTATTTAAACAGTTTTTAAAGTCACATAGCAGTTCATTTATACAGTAAACATTGACTCAATGCAATAAATATTATACACATAATAAAATAATCAAATTAATTTCACTTGGATGATTGAAAAAAATTATAACAATCAATTCCCCCAAAAATTTTATCACAATACAATATATACTCGACCTTCTGATATACAGAGAAATTAATCAACCCTGTATATATATGTAATTTAAATAAAAGAATTTATAACTAGTTTTGTGTTTATAATAAGTTCCTCAGTAACTTTCCCAAACACTTTTAAAATCAAAATAACATAAATGATTAAAAATTGACATGACATAAAAATATCGAGGTAAAAAAAAATCACCAGAGCTTCAAAACACTCAAAAGGCAATGTGAAGTCCTCACTAGATCTTTAATAACAGATTTCTTATTATTAGCATGCTCAATAATGACATGTAAAAAGAAATTTTCCGTTACAGACCAATAGTATGTTTTTACACAGCAAATGCTGCTTAATGTGATTGCAGTTAATGTTATCATTTGGATATTGCCATAGAACTGCCAAAGTCCTGCCCATTTGCAGATGAAAAAATGGAAAATACTTAGCTTATTGTGATCAACAATTCATTTAATAAAAATATTACAGAATCAATTTCTTTAAGCTGAAGTAAAGTCATTATGTAAGGTCAAGATAATTATAAGAAATAGCATGAGACAGAGAAATGTCACCAGGCGATTAAATAACTAAACAATTTGGTTTCAATCTTAATCAACCATTAAAAAATAAGCCCCAAAATAGCTTGTCATAGATTTTGAATAACTTCCATTTTGAGGGTGATCAGACACAGGTCCTTCTTCTTCAGGAGGGGAAAAAAAAATCAGCAGAATCCCCTCTTTTCCTTACATCTGGAAAGGGAGGAACTACTACTAAAACATGTACTAAGTTTCCTTTTTTTTAACCTAATTTTTAATTTAAAAAAGTCATATCCCCACACAACAAGAGATGCTCTCTATGTGGTAGGGGTTCAGCATCGATCAAATAATTTCCAGAAACATCATGAAGTTCATAAATGAACTTTTGCATCAAAGACATTGTGAATAGCACATAAACAAATTTTTGCCTTTTCCTGATTAAATGTTATAAAAATACCTATTTTTATGTTTTTGGTTATATTTATATTAAATTCCTTATAATATATTATTATATTTTATATAATTAATATTTATAATAAATACCTCCATAGATATTTAAAAGACAATTTTTCTCATTGGTTAATGTTATCAAAATAATCGTGGACATACTTAAGTACTTTAAGCTATACAGTAATACCAGACACTCATTCCAATAAGAGAATTCAAAGTTGTTTTAATCAAAAATATGATTTTAATATTATTTAAACAAATCAGAACCTGAGATTACGTGCAATAAATACGAATCATAGTTTTCTATAGACCACTATTTAATATAAGTGCAGTAGTTATGGTCTTTTCTGAGAAATTCTAGAGAGACTCTGTTTTTACCACTGTCCCACATATGAATAACTGGTCTGTTTGAGGAAAAATTATCGCTCATACATGAATCAGCCAATAGTGAATGTGTCAATTATAACACAGAGGTCTGATGAGATAGAAGAAAATTGTGCCAATTTTGTTTTTTAGTTTTTCACAACCACCACAAAAAAATTATGCTTCACACAAACAGCAAGAATAAACTTTTATTTATTTATTTTAGTTAGAAATTATTCATATTAATTTCACAGATGCAAAGCAAAATGGATAATCAAGAAATATTCAATACCTGATTCTGAATGCAGGTAACACAGGATAACAAAGTGAGTCTTTCAACAATATATTTAACTGAAACAAAATAAATAACTGCAAATGAACATATTAAAAAACTGCTAAAAAATCTGTAAGCCATTAATTTTCTCTGCCTAGCATCTAGATAGTTGAAAACAAGTATGTTTTAATCTAAGGTTGTATAAAAAGCTATTACATTTCAACACAGAAATAACAAATAATTTAAATTTTAAGCTTTATTAAATTCATCATTTTGGAAATAATGTGGTAAAACAAATATACTACAGTTTAAAATTCTGTATGCATCACACCATAACTTCACAATAAAAAATTTAAAAAAAAAAAAAAAAAAAAAAAAAAAAAAACTTTTAATTTCCGTAAGGAAAGTGTTACATAAATATAAAAACAAATATATCTTTATATATATAAGCGGCTAGTGTCTGTCGCTGATAGTTTATGTTGCCACTCGGAAAAAGAGCGCGGAAATGAATGTCTCTTCATTTTTAATTAAATCCGTTGATTAAAGTCGTATGAAATGAAAGGTATCGATGATTCGGAGAATTTTTGAACCCAGGAATCGTCTCATTCAACTCGGTGCCGTTCGTAGATATTCGAAAAAGAATTTGGCACTTAGCCAAATCCTCTAATATCAAAACCAAGAAAAAATTGGAAAATTAGTTTTAATTAAATCTCGGCTAATTAAATCCGACGAAGACGCAAATGGTCAAAATGGCGTGCCAAGGACCTGCGGAATCCAACGGTGTGCTTCGTTAAGCATGGGAGCCAGCCATTTCGGAGGAGATAATGTTACTTCACCTCATATATATATATATATATATATGCGGCTTAAGTGTCTGTTTGTCGCCGATAGTTTATTGGTTGCTTGCGCAACTGTACTAGCCAATGAGGTGAAGTTGCCACAGCACAGGGTTGCCATTTCAATTGAGACTTAGACAATTTCTGTTAAAACTTGCCTTTGCTATAACCATCAATAAGTCTCAGGGCCAAACGTTTAAGTGTGTTGGCATTTTTTTACTTAAGCCTGTATTTGGACACGATCAAATTAATGTTGCTTGTTCAAGAGTTCGTGATGGAACAGACCTAAAATTAAAAATAATTGATAGTCCTCTGCAGGGTGAGCTTAACAATGATAGAAAGATCTACACAAGAAATGTTATGTACAAAGAGATCTTTGACATGTGAATTAACATTTTATTATTTAAAATCACCTTTATTTATTGAGCTAGCGGTGGCTCTTAAGAAATGTACTGCCAGTGGTTCCTTCATTCTACTCTACTTTAAGCAATTAAGCAAGTAGAAGGGGAAAACCCCGTGGGGCAGTAAGCAAAGAGGTGTCCTTGCTGCCTGCCCTGGGTAATTCAGTTTGAATTAGAAGACACCTTTGCACAAATCATTTTAATTACAATTTATAATATCTACAACAGTGGTCATTTCGTATGACCGTCAGGCTTTCTAGTATACATATATCTGTAGTGGAACATAATTTAATGTTTTTATACAATTATTAAGATTTCCTAAGTGGGAACATGATGTAATGTTTCTACATAGTTATTAAGATTCACCATGTGGCAACAACGAATTGAGCTAAAAAAAGTTGTTAGTGTTCCATGATAAGTGTTGCCTTATTTCTTACAAAGCTTGTTATATTAGTTTTGGTAAAAGCACAGAATAGGCTGCATCAACAAAGTTTAGAAGGCGGAGCTGTGTGATGTCCATAAACGGGTGGGACTAAGCTTGTGACGTCACAATGTATTCTTGCATTTACACTACGCGTACTTTCTATTTTCTCTGAAAAATACAATAATAAATTGTTTATTATTGTAAATTAATATTAAATTCTTTACTTTAAATTTACATTTATAACATTTAAGCTTTGGCGTTACTGATAATAAGTATAATAAATTGTTTATATTTAAAATTACCATGATACAGTGAGCGAATTCCCAATTATTAAAACGATAATAATGAGTCTCTAATACTTGTGCAGCTTCAATATTTTCAAGGATTTTTATTAAAGCATTTATACAAATAAAAAAAGATTTTTAAAATTCTTAATTTATTAATTATTAATTTTTTAAATAAGTATAATAAATTGTTTATATTTAAAATTACCATGATACAGTAAGCGAATTCTGCCAATTATTAAAACGATAAATAACGTTGTAGTCTCTAATACTTGTACAGCTTCAATATTTTCAAGGAATTTTATTAAAGCAATTATACAAATAGAAAAAGATTTTTTTAAATTTAAATTGATATTGTGGAACATTTCAATTTTATCATTTTTACAAATTACCTTCTTGCTACATAACGACTAATTCCTTACATACCAATAATTAGACAATTTTCATTATTTTCTAAAAAATTTAAACTTTACATAAAAAAAAGAAGAATATTTTTATTGCATATGAATATCATTACACAGCTCTCATATCAGTTTCTAAAATTCCTAAATCACGCCATATTCTCTGTAGGCATACTATAATTCTACGCATTAGTAAATAAAAAAAAAAAAAATCTAATTTCTCAGAATGAAAGAAAATAAATACTACAAACTTGGAACACTAAGCAATGGTTCACATACGCACACACACACACATATTATCAATGAAGTCATATTATCAATTGCAATTACGATACCAAACATTGCGTATTAAAATAATACAGTGATACCTTGATATATATCATCAATCCATTGCATTTCCTTGGATGTATACCAAGCAAACTTTCCATTAAGAAATAAAAGGGGAAATAATTAATCTACGCTTATAAAAATCCTATTATTATCATTTATTATTATAATGCTGTTTAATATTAAAATAAAATGCAGTGGGTGAAGTATATACTGTACATAAATGAAGCACTGCACATGGTACCATGCATAAATGTTTTTCTGCTATCCAGAAGCAATTTTTCAACATTCTCTAACATCTCTGATCTTTGTTTGGTAATCAATTCTGCCTGCTTCACAATGTTAGTCCTTTAATAATCTTAAAGTATATGGCAGTGATTCTCAACCGGTGGTACAAAAAGAAACAAAGTATTTTTAACTATTAAATTAAAAAATCCTGTGGAGAAAAAAAAAAAAAAAAAAACACTTGAGAGAAATTCAGTGGCATAGCTAGGATCCAAGCGCCCCAGGGACAACTGAAGAATTTTGCGCCCCTCTCTGTGTGCCATGAATGGAAAACATTTCATTAAAAAATTTCGTAGCATCAATTTGGCGTTGCCTGGATGCTGCGCCTGGGGACAGGTGTCCCTCCTTGCCCCACCCTAGCTACCATCCTGACAATTTTCTTCGTTGCTTGACTCTTCTCATTAACTTTCCTAAAATTTATTATTAATAAACCTAAAAAAAATACCACCTCTGGAGAAATTTCCTGTGACTGAACTATAACTGAAGATTTAAAAAATAACACTTGCTAACTTTTGGCTGAACCGAAGAAAAGAATTTAAAGGCCTTTCATATAAAGCTATTACATTTTTACCACCTTTTTGCAGAACCTATTTGTGTGAACAAGGATTTTCTTACATGTTATATTTGAAAAATAAATACAGAAGAAAATTAAAAGTGGATCTCAATTTATAAGTGAAATAACACTAGACATTAAGAAATCAATCTCCCATAAACGGGCCAAAATTTAACACTAAATTCTAGAATTAAAGTATTACAGCTTGAATTTTGATAATTAAAATAGTAACCAATTTTCAATCTAGTATTTTTTACGTGTGCATATTTAACCTTCTGACTGCTCAATTTGTAGACCGAAATCGCTTCTAAAAAAATTTTTTTCCCCCATTTTTTAAATCTATATATATCGGAGAATTGAAAAATACACTTTTTCCTTCTAGAAAATATTTTTTATATAGATTTTTATCATGAGAAACTAAGTTGCCAGAAAAACCGATTTCAGATGTTATCACAAGAAAAAAAAAAAAAAAAAAAAAAAAAACTTTTTTTAAAAAAAATTTCAGTCGAATTACCGTTAATTTCTATTTATTGCATAATGTAAAAAGGTAAAATGTATAAAATTTAAGAAAATATAAAGCGCTGAGGGAAAAAACCTTAAAAATGCTGAATGTTTTCTAGCAACCATTTATGTAAGAATAAAGCGGCAAAAAGTGAAGTTTGAGCGGTAATACCACGTGCCTTCAAATGCCGCAATTTAGTGGACAACTAACCATATCTGTTGGCAAAATGTAAACTAAACGTCTAATACTGTATATAATTAATTTCAATGGTTAAATGGGGAAAAAAGGGGATGCGCTCCTCAATAAAGGAAGAAAAACACATATTTTTTTAAAATATTTTTATTGAGAAATTGAAAAATAATCACTGTAAAATGTAATGGTGGTACTAAGGTTTTTCAATTTTTATTTAGATGGTATGTGCTAATCAAAAGGTTAAGAACCGGTGGTTATATGGTATTGAGAAGTCTTGGATATGCATACCATCTTCATAAATTTCAACAATCTCTTTTTTCACCTCTATAGCCATCCTGACAATTTTCTTCGTTGCTTGACTCTTCTCATTAACTTTCCTAAAATTTATTATTAATAAACTTAAAAAAAATACCACTTGAAATTTGAGTTATAGCATGATATGTTTACTGAACTGTAACAGCATGCATACTGACACTCATGGGCAACTGTAACATTATCTTGAAAGAGGTAGACAAGTGTAGTCACTGAACTCAGGATGCATTCCAAACAAAAATTTTCATGTTTGAATAAAAGGTATTCCAAAGTGGATGTATATGAAGGTATCATTGTATATCTCTTAAACAGACTTGTATATCTTTTAAATATGGTATATCTTATCTTTTAAACAAGTTACAGGCAAAGTTTTTATAACTCCAAGTGAAATAAAAGTTGTTTACTATTAAGATATTATTACATTTAGATAACTAATTATATATATAAAAACACATAAAAATATTCATTTCCTCTAATAAAATCTAGTCATACTTTGTGCAGTATCTGAAACAATGATTTATACAGTGTTCAACCTTTGTTTTACCTTGTATTTCATTTATGAAAATCATAAAATTAACTTTGATCGTAAAATTAATTTCTATTAATTTGACTTACTGCTAAAATTTATAATAAAATATACACATATAGATATTACCTCTCAAATATGTTTTTATAAATAATTTTAAACATTTGTTACTGAGATTTGTTGCACATAAATAAAATCTTTCTTGAAAGTGAAAGATCTTTTAAAAAAAAAAAAAAAAAAAACCTTGCTTAGTTATAGAAAATATGGAATGTATGTGTTCTAGCAATTCTAACACATAAATGATTATTTTTAATAATTTAAAAAGCATTATCATTGAAATGTTAATTATATGAGCTTTCTGGTTTGAGCAGTTTTTAGTACGTGGGAGGAAAGGCAAATAACACATTACATACATTACAATTTCTTATAAAATATTAAAATTAATTTTACAGATTTTACCTATTAATGTTTAATATTTTTT